AGGGAAAAGCATGTTGGTTAGCAGCAGATTCTAGAATACTGTCATTTAAAAGAAAACCTTGCTGGAAAGAGGCTTATTTTGAAACATGTTACAGATACATTTTTTTCCTGCATTTTAACCCATTCCAAACTCTATGCATTAGAGAAGGGCAAGTCCAGCAGGGCAGGGTGGATGTTCCTCAGAGGAGACACTGCCTCGGTCTCCAGCAGACCCGAGGTCTTAGGAGGGCACGTGGGGACCTGCCGCAGCCGCCCGCCCAAGCCACGAGACAAGAACGCAGGCTCTGCACCCCACATTTGGGAGCAGGGACTTGGGAAGCAAAGGGAGCTTAGCTAATCCCAAAGGCAGTAGTTTAAACCGCGAGAACTTGTGCTTTGTCTCGCGCTCCCGCTGCTCGAGCCCAGCGAAGGGCTCACAACGTGTTTACTAAATCTCTCGCTGTTATTTACCACTGTGCCCACAGGGAAGCTGCCCTGGCCTGCAGTCCACGCGCGGGGACACTGTGGCCGCAGGGGAACCAACCAAGCGCTGGTAAATCACCCGGCAGCCGGAGGGACGCGGCGGGAGCAGCGGCAGCCAAAGGTCGCGCTGCGCCCGCGCGGTGCTCGGAGCCGGCCGCTCCTCCGCGCGGCGCCGCGGCGGCTCCCGCGCCCCGCTCCGCGCAGAAGCCTCGCGGATCGGGCGGGTCCCCGCGCCCCAGGTGCTGCGGGCGCTGCGCGGGGCCGCCGCGCCGCGGGAACCGGCCCAGGGCGAGGCGCCGGGACGGCCGCGCTGCCTCCCTCGGGAACACGGCGCACGGGGCCAGCCCGGCGGCGCGGACGCTGCCCGCGCTACCTGCTGCACGAGCGGGACCCCAAGAAACCCGGCCAGCGAGAGGGAGCCCCCCGGCCCCAGGGCAGCCCGCGCCCCCGCCGGCCCCGCGCCCGCGCACTCGCCTGGCTGCAGCGCGGCCGCCGAGCCCCAGGGGCGGGCAGGGGAGCGCGGGGCAGGGCGGAGGGGAGGGCTCCGCGCCGGGGCGGAGCGCGGGGCAGCGCGGGCCGGAGCCGCCCCGGGCCGCGGGGGAGGCGGCCCGGGGGGTCGGGGCCGGCTCGGCCCCCACCCGGCATCACCGGAGGAGGCGGCAGCGCCTGCACCCGYGGAAACGCTCCGCGCTGCGCGGCGCGGCCCGCGTTGTTGTCTTTGCCCAGGCGCCCATCTTCAAACCATGTGGTTCAGGGCAAGCTCAAGCCTGCAAACTCACCACAGTACTCGGTCCGAAATGCCTCAAGCATCAACAAACCAGCAGTCTGCAAAGACAGCCAAGGCCCCCCACAGAAGCACAGACCAGCTACAAGTCACCTGAGTCCACGCAGTCCTGTGGCAGCAGCAGGGTGCAGGCTGCTGTGCTCTCTTCCTGCCGGCTACAGGAGACTCTGCTGAGCCAAGCTTTAAAATGTTTGTCTCCAGCATTTTACAGGGCTTTTGATTTATAGTATCAGTGACTGCGAAGCAATAACAGTTGTTAATCCACTGAGTCCTGTTTATTACGGGGGAAAGAAAAAAAAAAAAAAAGAGGCATGGGAAGACTAGTGCATAAAATGCTATGTAAAGACAAATTAACTTAGGCCAGCTCAACCCACATATCTAGGGCCTGTAAATCCAAACCCTGGGCCAGACCATTTCTTTCTCAGGCTTAACCTTCCTCTCTTGGCGCAGAGCTTCTATAAAACTGCTGAACTGYTTACAGAAACAGGCAGCTGTGGAAAGCTGCATGGAATGGGCAAAATGGCCTTGAAGAGTTAAATGAGGAGGTATCACAAGGCTCTTCCATACTCCAGGCACACTGCGGAATGCCAATGTGAAAAGCAATATTGTTGTTCGGGGGAAGCACACAGGCTACCTGCACTTCGATCCCATCCCGATCTGCAGGCAAAGGCCATTTCTGTGTCTCACCTCAGCCACGTCAGCACTGGCACCRGTTCAGCACAGGAGCACAGGCTGCTCCCGGCCCACCTGGGTGATATTCTTAGCCCGCCCTTGCCTTGTGCTTTTGCTTAACCTTACCCTGCTGTTTGTAGAAAAGCAGCTTCAATTGTAGGTCTCARCTTACAGCTACAGGTCAATAACCATAAAGCCAAGCCTGAGAGTTTACCTCCCTTTGCACAGATGTCTCTGGGTACAGAGGTTGCTGGAGAGGAGGCCACCATATCAGCACCTGGATTAGAGCAACTCAGCTGTGTAAACCCACACTGTACACCCAGCCAGAGGCCCTTCTCACAGGACTACAAAGGAAGCCAGGGTTGGTCAGAGAGACACTATGAATTTTGGCAGCTTACACTTTCAGAGGAACTTCTCTGTATTTAGTAAGGAATGTATCAGGTTTCTATAATTGTTTATACAGCTACATAAAATGAGCTACCCCAGGCTTAAACATGCAATAAAATAAATGCAATAAAAACAAAAAAAAAAGCCTCCAGTAAAAAGCCACCAAACCATAATATTTTTCTCTATTGCTTGTGTAAGACTTAGTATATCTAATACTAATTTAATGGAAAATCTGCAGAACCTCGTTCTATACAAGAACATTGCCACAAAAGTATTCCTCCCTATATTTGTTTTTTTACTTTCCCTTTTCCCACTTAAATATGTATCTGAAAATGAAGCCCTAATCTACTTGAACCTCTGTAAGCTTTGAAATACTTAGAATTCCACACCTAAATCTGGACTTCTGCGTCCAGATCAAATCCTAGTCTAAATGCAGGTTTTTCTGGCACCAGCCTCCCAGCCCTGCCTGTATCTGCGTGTTTCCTGTAAGTAGAAGCCCAAAGCCTTGGCTTAGTAGTCCTTTTCTATACGCAGGAAAATAGCAAAAACATTCAGTTGGGATAAAAAAAATAACTTACTAGAATGATGATGAAAAATGCAAATCCTCTCTGATGATAGTGCAGTCATATACAGAGGTACAGGATTCTACCAGGCTGATACATGAAAGCTGCTGAGCACCTGCACTTTCAAGTCTACAGCAGATGCAAGGTACTGGCAGAAGAGACAACCAGCATCTTCCCCAAAGTGTCCTGTGGATTACACATTATTCAACTGTGTCTTCATTAATACTTTAATACAAGCAACTTCTATTAAAAAAACAAAATCCTGGGTTACACTCACATCATTCACATGTGCAAACACATCCTTACGTCATTTCTAAGAGCTTTCTTAATTTCTGCTCTCAGCTGCCCTAGGGTACATGAAGTACAGCCTCGGAAGGCCTCCAAGGTCTACAACACTGGGATCCTTGCTCAGCAGGAAGCACCTACCTTCCAGCAAGGACTATCTCAAAGAAACCACCAGTTACCACCACTGGGTGGTGCAGAAAACAAGAAATGCAGTAATTCCTTATCACCAGTATTTTCTCTCGAGACTAACAGCCTGTGTAGATAACTTAGAATTTTGACTAATTAGTTCATTTAATGAATAAATGCATATAAACTGGTTATACTTTCTCTAATATATTTTCAATCATTATTATAGGAGGGTTCTTTATTAACATGAGTTCCTTTTTATGTGAAAACAATGTTTACTACCTTTTAATTTAAAAGTTACCAAGGACATTTTTACATACGTGTACATGATTCCTCAAGCAAGTGCTACAAGATTGTTTCCTTTGATCAGAGATTACTCCAAAGCAATGCCAAAATATGCAATTGCTTAAGTACTGATTTCAATGCTCAGAACTCTATTTTGAGATCAGAACTTTTGAAAAACAGTTCTTAGGAGAAATAGATTACAACTTGTAACACTAGACTGCATTCTAGATAAGACAACACAAAATAAGAAACACCAAAGGAAATTAATTTTGGTTTGGGTATTTCACCGAGGCATCTAGTTTCATTTTAGATTTTAATAACAATTGTTTAYATTCCCAGATTCTGATTTTGTAATTATATTACAAATAAAGTATTTAAACAATAGTTATGTACATTCTGCTCCAAAAATGGACTGTAGGATTTCTGTACATTTCTTTTAGAAATACATACAAACCACAGCACAGGTCAACAATCTACTGGCAATTAAGGGACACAGGTCAACATAAAACATCTGTGCAAAATTTTATCTATCACTGCTTGAGTAACRCAGTTCTGTGCCCCTTCAGACTAACTAGTTTGCCTTCCCTGTCCCACTACCTCAGTTTACCTGGTATGCTGGATGGAAATTTCTGTAAATGTCATTACTACTTGATAGTGTTATCTTTTTCTCTCATAAGAGAAAGAAATATTAACAAACAAATAAAAAAAGATTTTACAGTTGACACAGAAAGACCTAGGCAGGCATACACTATGCAAGTTGTCCACAACCTACTAGTTGGTCAGAATGCAGGAGAGCATTTTTAAAGCTCTTTCAACAGTCTAGACAACATGACAAAAACCACCCTTTGTGGGCATACTGGAGAAATGCCATATATGAACAGTTTCCCCTTATATGGTCAAGGCCATACATGAACTCAAAGWCCATAYGTGGAAAAAGCAAACATGGGCAAGATACATATGGGSATAATGAGGAAACACATGTGGACATATTTCCCATAGATGGGGAATACATGGGCACCATGCCAAAATTGTCATATATAGACAAAATCACCATCTATAGGCATGATGGAATGCCATATGCAGRGCATAAAAGGAAAATTCAAAACAAAACACCATGTGGGCATAAYTGGGATGCCACATATGGGCAAAATTGTCATACATGGGCATGATGAGGAAAGTGCCTGTAGACATCTGCCTAGACCACGTTTCCTGTGGAATCATCATAGAAGCAACAGTTCATGGGTTCAACTCAATCATCTGTGGAAGCCCCAATTTACTCATCTTCGCTTTGTGCATACATAAACTGAACATCTTCAGTCTTTTTTTTTTTCTTTTACCATCAAAAAAGATTAACTTAAATGTAGATTTTGAATCATTTACCATTTGTATTGTATTGAAGTTAAAAAAAAAGACTATTGCAATCAAGAGAGCTTTCAAAAAAGAACATGGCAACTCACATAGCGCAGCTCATACTCTCTGCAGCTCATTAGACAACAGGTTGAACTAATGGCACATGAGTGAAACACAAAAACAAGAGACCAGAACATAACAATGTTATCTGGACCCTTCACCACTGTTCTTAATGTCAGRGCTTTGTAGCATTCACTAATTAACATGGTTGGGCAAAAGGCCGAGCATACCTAGTTGACACAAAAAGCCAGAATTTATGACCCAGGAAATCAGCAAGCAAACATAACTGCCAGAATCAAAACTGGTTTAGTGAAATAGGCAATCATGGAAATTCAGGGAACAGAGTGGAACTCCAGCAACCACTACTCCGTATTTTGTCTGAAAAATGTGTACCAGTCACCAAATACCCCTCAGCCAGAATTCTGAACAGTAGCATAATAGATTAAAAAAAAAAGTAATTGAAACTATAATGCCTAAATTCTCCTAAGTATATATCAAATTAACTTATACTATAATAATATCAAACTGCATAGCATTAGAAARTAAGGCAACTTGAACGGCTGAAATGGAAGATTTGARTTTTACCAACTAGTTATTACCATTCTGGAATTTACAATACCACCACCAGTCTACTGAATGGTAACTATAGCCCACTTTATGCAAAGCCTGTCTTAATCCCAGAGAATGCAGAAATTAATGATTCGGACAAGTTGATGCATGCTCTGCTTTCATGTTCTCCTAGCGGGTTTTGCCGTTAACTGCTTTTCTCTTTCAAGTTCCTTCTCACGTTGCTGTTCTCGTTCTAATTCTTCTTGCTGCCTCTTTTGTTGGAGTTTAAGTGCTCTTTTCTGAAGAGAAAAAGACAAGGAAAATTAGAAGTTGGTGCTACAAACATTGCTCCTGTTCTCATCACACACTCTTCTTGAAACACACCGTGGTTACAAATACAATGCTGTACAAAATGCTCATTTTTCTTCCTCCCATTTCCTTCTTAAAGAACACTACTGTGATGTACATAGGGAAAGTGTAAACAGATTCCCCTGAAACACCTTGTCTGTATACCAGACAGGTGAACACTAAGCAGTTTATTTTCTCCAACTATTTCTGTTGGCTAGACTGAAAGACTAATCTTGTCAGAATGTAACTAGAAATGCATCATATCTTTGAGTTTCACAAATGTTAAAGAGGAAACATGCCTGCATTTATGACAGTTTCAAAACAACTCGCCTTCCRCCAAAGAGGAGAAAAAAAAACAACAAAAAACCACCCACACCTGAACTAAAACATCTATGAAAACCAGTTGGATTGGATGGCAAGGCAGACCAAGGCATAGCTTTAATATTCAAAATAAACATGATGATGACACTGAATATCATTAAGAGGACAGATACATAAATTGTTTAAACACAAGGAAAGGTAAGCAAAGCTTAAAACCAAGTACAGTTTAGTGCTACTAAAAACATGTAGAAAAACACTTAAGAGGGARATTTAATAGAGATTCAACTTTCATTTGGGAATTTCAGTGTACATCCAAAATAAAGGTTAAAAACAAGTCATATCTAGTTAAATGTCTATGTTTGAGAAGAAAAAAAATGATCTTACTCACTTTTAACTTTGATGACTTCTCATGGAGCATCATCATTTCATTTCTAATATTGACTAACTTGTTGTGATAGTGCTTAGCTTCTGAAAACTTTGAAAACGTAGTAGTGATTGTTAAAGTCGAAATAGCTGCTTTATTAAGCTATGCATCAAAACAGCAACTATGAACATAGTGATACCAGAACATTTTGATTAAATCTTTAACATGTTTAATCGATAATCTAAAAAGCTTGCAGCAAATTCTCACACCTGATCAGGCATGCAAAGTATTTGGGTACAGAGCACCTGCAGCAGAATTAACATGCATTAAAAAAGAATAAAAATCAAAGCATACACCCATTTTTTTTTTTTTTTTTATTAACCTTTCCTGATGGTCCAAGGAAACATGCAGAGCTGATGTTGCAGTCTTACTGGAAGATTGCATATATTTGGCTCTGGCTACTGCTGTTGAACAACTGCACATACTACTACTGGCAGAYCAAGCCTGCTTTTAATTTATGATTCTCTCCCTGTTTTATGAAAAAACAGCACTTCTTCACCCTACCAGGGCACAGTGGGAGTGTGACAGAAAGTAGGGATAACAGTTCAGCAATAATTTGTCCCAAATATTGGACCTGGAGGGTAAYTGCCTCATAGCCTGTTAAGAACAAACAAATACACCAGTGGCACAAGCATTGCTACAAGTGTAGCATCAGGAAACCTTGTACTAGCATGCAATTAGTTAAGCATCAATTATACTTACCAAGGCATTGATTTCAGGAATGGAGTTACATTCTTTAAATTTTGAGATTTCTTGCTCTATTGTTTCTAGTAATACCTCTTGGTTCTGTCTGAAACAAGACAAGATGCATAAAGCCACAGTAAAGCAGAACAGACAAAAAGGAATGCAAAGATGCCAAGTTTTCAAGGTATGCATTTCCAACAAGTTATTTATTTCCTTATTGTCAGCTCTTGTAAAGTCTCACTCAAGAACCTAGGAGAGGCAAGACTAAAATATATTGAAAGAACTATTTGGGAAAATAAGTTTCAAGCACAAGCCGTAAACAGGTGCTTCCTGAGATCAGATTTATCTTACTTGAAATTGGCTAGCAATGCATAAAGAGTTAAACAGATACAAATGCATCATTTGCAGCACACCTTAAAGACAGCACAAAAAAACATCTGCACTACAAGTTGCCCCKAATGTTCGGTGCATCTCTGAAGCTAATTAAACTGTAGTTTTAAGGAGACCTTCCACTACAGAAGTAAGAAGTTTACAAATTCACACATCTGTTATACCTGGCTGAGTGGATTTTAGATTTACATTCTTTGGTCAAAGCACTGAAAAGCTCCATTGTAGCTTACACATTCACTACTATTCCCATAACCTTAAATATCACTACCCGTTCTGACTCTTAGAGACATACATAGCATAGAAACGCTCCAGTAAGTTACATTCTAGGTTAGAACATTAGTTTTAACAATATACTATATGGAACACAATAACATATTGTATGGACATAATTATATGGAAATATGTGGCAAACAAAGTGCACACACATAAGATGATGCTTTTAGAAGGCTGCTTACGTCAGTTCCTTTAGAGCTGATTTTGATCGCTGCAGATCGGGCAAATAATGAGCAATCAAGCCCTCGGCTAGCTGCTCCACGGCTTTCTCATCTAYTAGAGACACATCTTCCACAACTCCTTCATCTGGAGAGGACCCATCACTCGAGCCTACACCAGGGAAAAAGACTGGATATCCCAAGTTGACATTTAAATTTCACCTTGTAGAGCTGTATTTTTCCTCTTAAAAAGGGCAATTCAAAGAGCATCAGAGCTCTTTGCACGTTATCAACCAGATCCTCTCCCTGCCGCTCGGCCCGTTACCCTCCCCGCACGGCCGCTTCCCCCCGCCCGGCGACCCTGCCGGGCCCGCCCGCCCCGCACGTACCCCGCGAGGACTCCGGGGCCGCGGCCGCCCCCTTCTCCTCAGGCCGCTCCGCGACGCTCATGGCCGCGTCTCGCGGCCGCAGGACAGCGCGGCAGCGGCTCCCTCAGCGCGACGGGCGCCGCGGGGCCGCCGGGCCCGCTCCGCAGCGTCTAAAACAGCCGGAGGTGACGCGGCGCCCGGCGGGAGGCGGCGCTCGCCGCGCGGCACCGCCCCAGAGGCGGGGCCAAAACACGGAGGGGGCGGGGCCTTCCGTGCCGCGCGGCGCCCGCCCCGCCCCGCGCCGTGAAGGAGCCGCCGCGCTGCTCGCGCTCCGGGCGTCGCTAACGTCAAACGCGTTTCCTACTCACTAACGAAGCGTATTTTTTTGCCCCTCTGTTTCCTAACAGCACCATTTTACAACCAAAAATGGACTTTGGAGGTGCCTATCCTGAAAAAATCTAATTTTTATCCATAAGACTGTTAAGAATTCATATATAGATGTATTGGCATATATTCTGCTTAACTGTTGATYACAATTGTATCATTATTGTATCATCAAATTAAACTTAGCTGTGTTCCTCTCTGTTTTTTTCCTGACTTTGCTTTAAAAACGGACTATCAAAAGCTTAGTCTGACAACAGACTACAATGCCAGGCTCCTGTCAGGCTTGAATCTTAGCTAGAATCAGTTGGCCRTCTTATTTATTCTTTCTTTTAACTTTGAGGAGTTGCCTTTGGAGGCAAACTGCAGTTTTGCTAACAAACAAACAAAAAAAAACTCGGAATCTTCCAGGGGAATTTCCAGCAAAACCCAGCAGGATTTGGGCTCTGAGGGACACATTTCATGTGTGGGAGTTTCTGATTCCTGCTCCTGCACTGCCTGTTCCAGGTCCTCCCACATSTTACTGAGTTAGACTAAAAACTGAATACAAAATTAGCATCAGTTTCTCTAGAGCAGTCAAAAATTAACTGCTTGACAAACCAGAAGCTCTCTATCTTTATGTCATGGCAGCAACAAATAATCACATCTATTTTGATTTCATATTGTAGCAACTGTGCTCAGAAACTTGTTGTGGCAACACCATCACCTACACCCTCTGGACTGCATTGCTGGGGCTGATCTGGGCACAGTTGCATACCCAGGAACCCCATCCCTACACACAAATCTGAATAAATCTGAGTGGCAACTTTAAGGCACCAGCTTTGGGAGTGCTGTGTGACCTCGGGATGACAATATGAAATGTTAACAGGTCACTTCTCCGGTCACCGCGGTGGCTCCAGGCTGCCCATGGAGGTGGTGGCGTCTCCATCCCTGGAGATGCTCGGGATGCAGCTGGTGTCAGGCCAGGGCCGCCTGTTCCAGCTGCCCCTGCTTGCTTGGGGACCAGACGGTCCCCAGGGGTGTCTGGAACTAAGTCTAGGCGAGTTAAATCACCTGGAGAACAAGAGCGCTGAACGGATTGTACACGGGGTGTTTGCTCAGGCAGAAACGCCAGATTAACGTGCTCCCCGCTTGGGTGGCTCGCTCCTACCCCCATGGCCCTGCTGCCTCCAGGTCATCTTGGCAAGTCTGTGCAAGTTGGGAACGTGGAAATGGCCTCGTTCGGGCTCTGAGATGGGTGAGGAGGGCAATGCCCTCTCAGCAGAGCCAGCAAAAGCAAAAGCTGCCTTGCTGGACGCTGGAGCAGGGCAACAGGAGGGATTAGAGGCTGGTAGGGCATTTGAGAGCTTTCTGTGTGTGTGTGTGTGTGTGTGTGTGTGTGCGTACTCCTACATCCTTTGAGGAATGTTAAGACGGCAGCGGCACGTGAGCCTGCACACCGCAGGGATGTGACAGGAATGTGTGAAGTGCATGACAGGTTACAAAGGCAGAGGGGGGAACCCAACCCTGTTCACGTCACTTTTCCACAAGCACACCACAGCCCTGCGTGGCGGGGCCCCACAGGCCACCACGRCCTCTGGGCCTGGGGCTGAGGCCCCCCGCACCCCACGCGCGGAGTCCGCAACGCGCGAGGCCGGGCCCGAACCCGCGACCTGCGGCACGGGCGG